GTCGCTACGGCAGACCCAGCTTGGTTGGAGGGGTTCGCGGTAATAGTAGGCGAATCTGGAACCGGTTTCGAGTGCTCCCCTACTGAGTGAGCAGAATCACTACCCGATGCTTCCTTGTTAGGCCTCTTGGAAATCTGTTTCAGCGATTCACCAGACTCACTGAGCTGAATGGGTGCATTCTTGGTGGGGGAAGGTTTTGCTCTTTTGCGCTTGATGGATTGGGATTGGGATGTGGACATATCAGGGAGATAAGCTGTATTCATACCCGTAAGCAAGTCAAAATTCCTGGCAGGAGTTGAAGTGGCACATGCTTGAGTAGACATTGGTTCGTGGGTGACTGAGAGATCGCCAAGAATTTCACCGTCGTCAACCGATACCAATGAGTACGATAGTTTCGCCTGTTGATCCTGTTCCGGAAATTCGCTTTCTCCGTCTAAGGTGAGCACTCCGCCCGGGCAGGCAGGCTGCTTAGACATTTCAGAACCTGTTGAGAATGAATAAAATTTAGTAATAAGAAGAAATTTAAATATACAGGATAGATTCGAACTGTATATACAAGCCACTAGATAAGTAGCTTTATTTAACTTATTTTGCTCTTACTCCCCTTTCTTTCACCCCTACCTTCCCTTACTCCCTCCCCTTACCTTTTCCCTCTATATGGAGAGAAAAGAAAAAAAAACAAAAAAAATAGAAAAAAGGGAAAAGCACTATTAAAAACAAAAGAATTTATTCTTACTCAGCCTCAGCTCTCTGGCAAGACAACACCAAGCACAATTCTGCCAAATAATCAAATTTCACAAATTAAAAGAGAAAAGAATTAATAAGACAATACGTACACTTGACCGACCGCCACAGTCTGATGTAATTTATCGAAACATCTTTAGCACAGTAATCTCAAACAAACTAGACAAACTTGGACAGAAGCCGAATTGATTAAATTGTATGTTGTATTATAAAGGAACAAGTGTAAAAGGAGCCGAAGGCAGAAACCATTTAGTTGATAAGTAATGTATATGGAAAGGTATTCGTAGATTAACCTTTTGTAATTCTGATGTTATGTAGAGTTAATCCTTTTATTTATTGATAGTAGTATTCTTCTTATTATAACAATATACTGTTAAATTTATCCAATTAATAGTCTCAATTTCAGCGTTCCCACGTGGCAATGTGAGGTTATGTTGGTTCCAAGAGAATTTTAGAGATTAATCTTCTTGAATTAGTTGATAAGGATTTAAATCCTCACTAAAAAACACTTATTATTTCTCAAATACAACCATAGGAGTATATTTTAATAACAACTATTCAATACAATTCGATTAAACTAATTTAAATAATTAACAATTAAACAGAACTCAAAAAAACGTGTCTCCCGCTCAACATACGAAACAGAAGTCCCAATGTCCCTCTGTCAATGTAAAAGAATTGTCCCTTTAACCCAACTATTAAAAAAGCTAAGAAGTAAAAAACAGTTTTCCACAATAGCAATAACTCTATCTGCGCTCGGACGCACTCTTTAATACCGGTCGGGTGGCAGTGAGTGGCGCAGAGGCGCTCACTGGTCCCCGACTGGTACTAGTGCTTGCGTCCGAGCGCAGATCGAGTTATCGCCCGCGGGAGCTCAATTGTACATAAAAAATATTTATTTAAAAAATTTTTTTTTTAAGTTCATAAATATTGTTTATTATTTCATCTATTTTCATTCAAATAAATTTTTTTTATAAATTAAAAAAATCAGAAATGTAGGGCGTACAGCCTGCAGGCACGAGGGTGCCTGTCAACAGTGGCTTGCCATATGGCTAACAATAGCTAGCGTGCACAAGTGCCTGCGTTTTAGCCTGCCGCTCGGTCCTATCAATCGGCCCACGAGCTAGCTCTGAGCTGGCCATAAGCCAGGCATTTTGCTATCTGGGTAAAGTAGAGTAACAACACCAGGCATTTTTTGAATATTGAATATTTCAAAGATCAAAAACAAAAAAATTTGAAAAAGTACGAAAAAAATTCATAACTCCAACAATTTTCGACCAAATTTTTTTTTCAATGTCAGAAATTAGGTTGGAATTACTGCTCTTCAAATGGTGACCATTGCGAATTTTTTTATAAACTTCTAATAGCCAGCGTTTCCACCCGCTTTATCAAAAAACCGAAAAATGTGAAAAAGTCAAAAGAAAATTCATAACTCGAACAATTTTTGACCAAATTTTTTTTTCTTTTATCAGAATTTAAAGAGCGATTATTGCATTTGAAATTATGACAATTGGGAATTTTGTGTAATAAACTTTTAATAGATAGCGTTCCCACCCTCTCGTATTAGAAAAACCGAAAAATTTGAAAAATTACAAAAAAAATTCATAACTCAAATAATTTTCGACCAAATTTTTTTTTCAATGTCAGAAATTAAAGAGGAATTATTGCTCTTCAAATGGTGACCACTGCGAAATTTTTTTTAATAATCGTTTAATAGCCAGCTTTCTCACCCGCCCTTTTCATAAGACCAAAAAAAGTAAAAAAAAATTCGTAACTGGAACAATTTTCGACCAAATTTTTTTTCTTTCTCTGTAATTAAAGAGGGATTATTGCTTTTCAAATTGTGACCATTGCGAATTTTTTTTAATAAACTTTTAATATCCAGTGTTCCCATCCGCCCGTATCAGATAATTGAAAAATGTGAAAATTCAAAAAAAATTCAAATGTCGATAAAATTTAAATCTGAGCTAATCTAGCAAAACTGAAATAGATTTTTGCTAGTTTTGATAAGTACTTTCAGAAACTGAAGTCAAAACTTAGTGCACATTCGATGACCTCAAAAATGTTGCATTGTGTAATAGATCAAATTTTTTTTTAATAAAAAAATTTTTTAATAAAATATTCAACGCATTTTTGGTGATGTGATTGAAATTACTTGATTTTTTGGTTGACTGGAAAGACTAGAAAAATTATTGTGTTAAATTAAATAGAATTGTAAACATGCGGAAACAATGGTATATTTATAAAACTACAATCTTGAGGTAAAGTCGTTTTTATGAAAATACTTTTTTCAAAATAAACTTTTATATATACTTAATTATTATTATGCACTTAATTAATTATTCGATGGAACCCAATGGGAAATGCCAGTGTAGTGCCGATGTTCACCACTGGTTTAGTACTCAGACGATTCTTCGACGCAGTCTAGCCGAGCCTCGACAATTAGTGCTGGCGCAGTACAGAATTTTTGTTTCGCCAAAGCTTGGACAAGCCACGGCGGCAAGTGCTGGCTGAGTATAGAAAAATTGTTCACGACGCTCTTTGCCAACATTGCTTTTTTGACATAAACTTGAAAGAAATTATAAAAAAAGTTTATGAATGTTTATAAATATAAATTTATTGAAAAAATTAATATTTTACTTTTCAGTTGTTCATTTTTTATTTTTATTAAATTTAATAATAAAAATTTAACATAATTGTCTAATTTTCTAAATAATAAATTATTTAAACAAATTAAAATTATAAACAAAATTTAAACTTTAATCTCAATAATAATTGAGGAGCTGGATCGAAGAACCGGCTCTTCGCTCGAACTTACGCAGAAGTATTGTCCAACCCTCAGCTTTGTTATGAAATTTTAAAACTCAAAAAAAAAAAATATTTAAAAATTATGACGTTGTAGAGGAGAAAAAAATACATCTTTTTTCTATTTACAATTTTTTTCTAAAATGCAATTTATTAAGACTAAAAAATAAAAGCGTTAGACAGCGTTATCATCCCAGAGTTATGCCAGTGCTGTCTGTCAGCGTAGCTGACAGTGCTGGCGCAGTACTCCGTCAGTTGTAAATTTCCCATTGGGAAGTTATACTGAATGTTGCAGCACATTGAAAGCCGAATATGATGCCTTCAGAATCTGAAAAATGTTAAATTATGAAAATCAAAACTTGGCCCCACGTATTTATTGCATACATACTTACCGATGCGAAAGAATTTAAATTCACAAATGCAATTGAAGCAATAGAAATTAAAATCGGTTTTTTGGAACGAATCATCATGATTATCAGGCTTTTTTTCGTCTCTTTACCAAGAAAGAGCCAATTTATTTCGAAAATTGCATTCTGCAAATCACTGCTCTATTTGAAGAAGTAATCATGTTAGAATCATCAAAATATATGTTACACTGGAACCTCGATTATCCGAACTTCTGTTTTTATCCGAACTGTAAATCATTTTATCCGATTTTCATGATTTTAAATACTTTTTAAATAACATTAAAAAATGAGTAGATTGTTATTAACATTATAATTAATTTTATTTAATTAAAAAATGTTTAAAAAGAATTGTATTATTTCCCGATATTTACACATTTCATTTATTATAATTTAATAATTTATTATGAAATATTAAAATTTTAATTTTTAGTTCAATATTCTTATTAGTATTAATTATTTAAGGAATATTTTTAATAAAATTTTAAACGGAAATTAACATTTATGATTTTTATAAAGGAATTGAAAATTTGTCAATAATGTTTATAATTATAGTGTAAATTACACGGAGAGAAATTTATAGTAGTGGGTAACATAATTGTGGTTAGGGTGACCATCTTTAATGCTACGTATACAGACAGCTATCTAGATAGTCACCGTTACCAGAGAGTATTAGGGAGAGTGGAAGGTCCCATAAGAGAGCAATGTAAATAATCGTACACGATTTTCAGCGCCCTCAACAGGTTCGTTCCGACACGAATTTCCCCCACCAAGAGCATTAGCGGGAAAATTCAAATTTCCGGATTATATTTAATTACATATTTTTATTAAATTAAATAAATTTTTGTTCAAACATTTTTTTATAAATAATAAGTGTGATGCAAAATTAATTTAAAAAATATTTTTATTTGTCGTAATTAAAAAAATACATGTGAATATAAAAAAACGTTTGAAATATAACGAAAAAATACTATTTTAATGTTGTTTTCATATAAATATAATTTATACGTATAAATATTTATTTTTGAAAACGTGAACACATACGCATTAAATATATAAATTTCATTTAATATATAAACGAGATCTCATACAAACTGCTGTTTGTTATCAAGGCTTATAATTAAAACATTTTTTACATAAATCTTTTCGTAGTTTTAACATGTTTTAAAATATAGTAATATTATAAAATTTCGTTATTTTAACCGATTACAGCACGTTTTTTATGACAGAGTATGATTTAATAAATTTTTCCTATAAATCGTGACATCTTTTTAAAATCTTTATCTATTAAATTACCTTCAGGACACGACTTTCTTTTTTTTATTAAACTTAAAGCGCGTCTTATAAACCGAGCTTCCCAATGGCATCTTACCCGAAGAAATATTTTTAAAAAAGTTTCAGAAGTTTCAGTTGTGCAAAGGTTTATAGAAGAACAACTGTGTTTTAGAATACATGACAGAATTAGAGAAATGTTTTTCAAATGATAATTAGCTTTAATTATACTCTTAAATTTTTCCTCCCACTCGAGAAAACATTGAAAAATGCTTTCCTTGACAAAAATTAAGCCTTGTGTATCACTGTACGACTTTAAATGTGTAAAAACTTGATAATCTTTATAAATATCATTATCTGATTGTTTTATAATGTTTATGCATAAATCACAAGAGTGTTGAGAAAAAAACAGTTTAGCAACATATCCCGAACAGTAATACGCTGCACTGGACTGTGTAAATTCCTGTGATTCAGTGAATATTTTTTCATAGTTTGAAATATTAACTTCTACTTGAGGAATTTTTGATGGCACTTGCATTTCAATGTTTTTAATGTTTCGCAACTGAAGAATCATTTTACTATCATCGTCTTCGCAATTAGATAGTTTTGACAATTTACCCAAATAAGTAATTAATTGTTGACGAAAAGCATTTTCAAATTGCTTTGGTGAAGGATCTGTTGAACAACCGTGTGCTTGTCTTATAGTTGAAAAGAAATTTTCTAATGGATCTTGATTCATCCTACGGGTTAAAAGAGAAGAAATATTGTATGATTTACGCAAATCATCCGACAATTGAAGAACAGAATGAATCGTAAGCACCAAACCTTTTAAACAAGCTGGTTGACGCCCTTCAAATCGAGCAGTTTGCAATTTTTGGGACATTTCTTTTAAAAAAAGAATGTGCTCTGAATTTTCAGTAATGGCATATCTTAATTTTTTAGAAGCTGGTTGGCTTATTAAAGAAGAGTTTAAAGAATCGAATAATCGATCGATGTCTAAAACGAAAGGTAAAGTGGCATCAAATGTTTCGTTAAAGCGGTCGGGCAAGAAATTTCTATAAACTTTATAAGCAGTGTGCATAGATTCTGAGAATATTTGTGAAGCTAAGGAAACTCTCATTTTACTAAAATTACCTAAATCAAAATGTTTCTCTGTAATTCTCGGAAGTAAATTTAAATCTGTTTCTTTGCTTAATTTAAAAACTGCTTCCAATTCTTTCCACGATATTTTACCACCATTGTAATTCAAAATTTTTGTTAATAAATTATTTCTAAGAGATTTCAATAGATGTGGAGGATCAAAAATTATAAATATTTTATGTTGATTGCGTACAAAATAAGGTTTCTTAGAAGTGATGTCCCATTTTGTTACAATACCCTGATTTCTTGGCCCTTGATCGCAAATAATAGCTTTTACAATTAAACCTGTTTCTTTGAAAACTTCGTCTATTGTTAACAACATAATATCATGCGTTTTTTCTGAATTACCTTCACTGCCAAGAAACCAATAACCTATTGGTTGCTTAGCTTTCATATGAATCCAGGAAATCATTGCAACTAAAGCAGATTTAGCTGCTTTCGGTTGTCGATGCACCCCATCGTCAGCAACGCCGACGAATTTGTCAGTATTGGGATCGTAGTGTATTTCCGAAACTAAATTAATTTCGTCGAACAATAAAGTGACTACCTTATTTTCAATGGGCTGATTTTTAAATTGATTTTTTAATTCTGACATAATGGTTTTATTGAAGCCAGGGGAAACAGGAACTCTACGTTGGTACTCTCGCAGAGTTCGTTCAGATGGTAAACTACAAATGTTTCTCAACAATTTATAATTTCTAGGTGATAAATATAGCATAGATAATATAGCATAGATTAAATTTGATATACCTTTATTTGAAGTCTCTCCAGCGTTCATAACTTCACATGACCCACTTTGTGTATTAAAAACATCTCTAACTGAATTTTGTCTTGAAGGAGTAAAAAAACCATTAGAAATTGAACTTTGTCCAGAAGGTGTATTAACAACTTTCGCGACGTTATTTTCTCTGGAAGGTGTGGTGACGGATTCATTCACGTTGCAACGACCTGACGGTGTAGTAACTGTTGTGACATTAGGATGTGTTGTGGTTGAAGTTACTGGAGACAATGAACTTGTATCTTCCATTAAATTATGTGTCATTTCACTTTGTCTGGAATGTGATTGAGGACTGCTTGTGTAAAAAAGAGGTAATAAATTTTTGCTAGTACTGCATTTCTTTAATGACAAACATGTTTCCGCGCATTTATCTTTTGATGAAATTGGTGATCCGAAGTAGATTGAAGGATGGGTAGAAGGAGAAATTAACCCTACGGCGTTGGTCTCTATAATAAAAAAGAAACAATTTTTAAAACTTGATATTTATTTCATATACAATTTATTTTACAATATTTTTAACGTGATCTATCGAAAAATTTATGTACAATTAAATTTTTCATATTATAATGAATTAAAAAATTGATTTTTTATAATAATGAAAAATTATAATTTAATTACAATAAGCATTTAACATATTTGTAGTTCATGTTGAGTTTATGTTCAATTTTAATTATTATTAAAATATTATGCAAAAATACATGCACATTCAGTAAGTAATTTCAAATAAACAAAACTTTGAGTAATTTGTGGATTAAAAATTATTTATTAATATAAATTAACGAGATGATTTACACGAGTTTTAATTTATCTTTATAAATAAATTTTAATCCAGAAATTCCTGAAAAACTTTTGTTTATTTTAAATATTATTGTCATTCATATTTTATTTACTTTATATAATTATATTATGTACTCAATAAAACCAAAAATGACACACATGTACAATATAAAGATATTAACTAATTTCTATCGTTCAAATTGTATTTTTAGAGTACAATCTCCTAAATTATATAGAGTAAACGTTTTAAAAGTCTTACCAGTTATTGTTATATTTCGAACTTTACTACAAGCAAGTTCAACTTGTGACACCATATTTTCTCCATTCATCGTTGAGGCTGGCGTTTTCGAAATATTTAACTGCTCACTGGTGCAGTCACTTTTATTTTCCTCAGTTTGAGTGCCAATAGTTGTAGCAATATTGACAATTTCTTTCTCGCTGCTTACCTTGCTACCTGTAATATCAATTGTTTAAATTTATATTAATGTGATTTTAAAATTATAAATTATGTGCATATCATTATTTATTATTACGTAAAAAATACTTACTTCGCCCTGCGGTGCACTTCTTTCCCTTGTGCAAAGTTGGAATTGCATCTGGCTTCAATAAGGGCCTGGGATGAAATGTTTTAAAACATTTTTTGTCGAAATGTTCCGCGCAGATTCGAAACTTTGTAGTTTCTTTAACCCCAGCGAATTTGAGCCATTTTCTTCGACTGCGAAATGTTATAATTTTTTATTTTTAATTCAAGGATAAAAAATTATATTTTCATGACAAAAATAATATAATAATAATATAAATAATATAATAATAAATATTTCCAACAACTTTTTAATATAAAAATTTAGAATTCTGTGTATACTTAAGTAATAATATGACAGTATTTCAAAAGTTTATATTTCATCGTGTAAAAAAGTGAGGTTACGTTTACTAAAAATCAAATATATACTTACGTTGAATTAGATTTTGGTAACCTAAACGATGAAAATCCTTGGCACATTTTCGTATATGTCCCATTTTTGCAATTTTCTACACTACAATATAACATTTTTGCATAAAATTTGTAAATCACGCTTCTCCAACTGTTTGCAAACAAGCACAACAAAGCACAAACAGTTGAGCACAAATACATACAGTACATTCAAAACATTATACATATATATTTTAAAAAGGGAACGACCCACCAGAGTGCGCTACTAGTAGCGTGTACGGTCACCTTCCACTCTCCCTAATACTCTCTGACCGTTACCATCAATATCATCAGGAGTAACATCTTGGTAGTACGGGGTAGCATAACTATATTTTTTTTAGCATCTGTGATGGTTGGCAGTAGCATAATGATAGTATCGTGTAACATCATCTTTTTAACATCAAAATCTGACTATCCGTTTCTCTCAGTGTACCCATAAAACTAGATTAAGTGATTGTAATTAAAAATATTAGAATTCTTTAAATTTTAGACACTTCTCTTGGGGATTTTTATTATATTATTTAAAGATATTTAAATATGAAATATTTCTTTAAAAATTTAAAAGCAAAACCTATGGTAAAAATGACATAGGTCTTGAATTTAATTTTCAAAGAGATTCGATGTTTAAATATTTATAAAGAATCAAATAAAATTCCCCAAGAGAAGTTTCTAAAATTCAAAGAATTTTATTTTTAAAATTTTAATTTTTTAATTATTTAATTTTTAAATTTTACATTTAGTTTCAAATTGAATTTCCATTGAAAATAAATATATTTTGTATAGTCATAAATTAATGGTAATAATAAATGGTTAATTTATGAATAAGTATAAGAAATCTGAATGTTTTGACTAATAGAAATAATAATATAGGTTATTAAAAGATTTTACTTATTCCGTTAATGTTTTATTGAAACAATCCACGCCGCCCTGCTCTCATTGTAGTCAGTATGGGAATCGACACTAGACTTGTCTTGGACTCAACCCAGGAGCGCCTATCAATATGTTCAGTCTGCCTTGTTCCGCCTATAATTGTGCATGTGAACGAAAACACGTTAAGCCTACTGACGTGCTTTAAACCTTTTACGATTCATTTCCCTGTTTTTTATCTGGAGCCGCAAAGGTAGACAAGTTTGGGAATGAAATCTAAGTTACTAGCGCTGAACTCCACAATTTTCAATCGGATTTTTCTGTGTGCAATTATGAAATTATATTAATTATTTAGTTAATACAAACAATTCGATGAAATTTAAGTTACTTAATAACTATCAAATCAATTTGTTAATTAATACAATATTCAAATATTAATTGTTAATACTTTGTTTAAACATTCATAATTATTAAAGTTACACGGAAAAAATAAGTTCAGCAGATTTTACGAAACTAATTTCGCACAAGCGGATATTTAAGATTCCTAGACGAAGTTTTTCAAAAACCCAGAAACTTTCACTACTTTAAGCAGAACAATTGTCGAGAAACTGCAACCAGTGTTGTAATTTATAAAACAAGCTTGAATGTAGAAATGTTTCGTATTTTCTGGTGAACATTTTATCAGAAAATGGTAAAAATGTTTCGTGCAATCTAAAAACGCGTGGTTTGAGTTTCCACTTCGCTGTCTATCGTGAATTCTCGAACACAAAGTTTCGTAAAATTCTATACGGGGTGTACCAAAAGTCGCGTTATAAATAGATATGTTGAAGCTTGTCTCGTCGCGTCGGTATTAACTTGTCTGCTGTATATAGATATAATGTGGAAGGAAAAAGAGAACTGCTTTACCTGCCGGTAACATTTGGATAATTGTTTTCTTTTACGTATTTCACATTTCATTGTTCCAAATTCGTAACATTTTTTATGTGCTTTTGTAATCCAAACTTTTAATTATTATTAATTTCTTTTAATTTACAGTCCAATAAATTTTATAGTTTATCATAATATTTACCGATGACAATATATATATTAATTTCTCAAGTTTTAACTGTTATTACTTCAAATTTTAGACAATTTAATATAAACATTTTTTGAGTTTGAATTTAATTTTGAAAATTTTTTGTCAATTTATTTATAATTTAAAATTAAGAATAAAATTATTTTCTAAAAATTGAAAAATTTTATAGAGATTTTATAACTAATTATAATCAAAAAATGTTATTTTAAAAACCATAAAATATTTTGTATAACTTTTAAAAAAATGATTTTTTTAAAAATTAATATTCAGTATATTGACATTTCTCACAAGCGCAGTTTTAATCTCCTCAGTTAGTATATAAAGAAACTCAATTCTTTCATCTACAAGTGCGAGTTATATTGTATGTGCGTTGCGTCAGAATTCGTTTATATGTATGCGTATTTCCGTTAAGTTAGTGTCAGAATAAAATAAGCCAATCCAAGCGAACCATTGCGTTGTAGAGTGCAGTCACATGTGTCGAACCAATCATCTATCTCCTATAGAAGACGAGAAAAAATGGTCTTGAGAGCTCATTGGTACATTAAGAAATTCTTTTTTCTGCTTTATTCGTTTTTTTCTCCGTGAATATTTTTTTCCGTGGCGCATGCGCTTCAGGCTAAACATTTTACAAAACTCTTGAATTAGAACGTCCAACCGATCATTTGTGAATTCCATAGAATTTTTTTTGAGTTTTCGAGAAACGCAGTCATCATATATTACTATTGATTCTGTTTTATCTTATACTAAACTCCTCTCCGTATCCGCTATTCCAAAATTAGTTTCGTAAAATGTACTAAATTAATTTTTTCCGTGTAACAACAATAAAAACAATTATTTTAATGATTATCTATTTATTATAACTAATTAGATAAAAATTCTCAATATTATTTAATTATTTAATAGTTATAATAATAATTTCTTAATTAACATTTTAGTTAACAATAAACTATGGATAATTTGTTTAAATATTCTATTAATCAATAAAACAAATAATCAAAATTGTTATTTAATAATTTTGGTTTTTAATATTTTAACTGTTCAACAATTAATTCTAATTGTTGTTAATTGTTTATTGTTAATTATTTGTTTATAATATTCAGAACATCAAAATTAATTAATTAATTTATGTCAATTTTATATAGGGAAGAGGTACGCACGTTGAGACACTAAGATATTATAACCTGTGTAACTGATAATACCAAAAATTTTATTGGCATTTTGTCGTATCATTAATACCAAACTTTTTATTCAAAAAAAGCGCAATAACTCCTTTTTTCGGTACACTGAGAAAAAAAATTATTTGATTCAAACAAATTTTGTTTAAATCAAACTTAAAATATCTTTGCTATACAGTCAAACATATTTAAGTTTAATTTAAACATATTTTCTGGTTCAGCTTAAGAGATTATATATTGAAATCAAACATAAATTGTGATTGTTTTTTAATTATCTGTAGTCAACTTTTAAGTTTGATTCAAACATAAAATTTTTAAACATAATTTTTATTTAAACCGTAACAAAAAATATGTTTGAATTAAATATAATTATTAAAACAAATAATACTTTTGAATCAATGCAGTAGATATTTTCTGTATATTGAGATTAAACTTACAAACTAATTTCAATTAAACAAAATCGTCTAACATTATTTTTGTGTTTCATTTAAGTATAATGTTTTCTCAGTGTAGAACTAGAGCGAACCAATTTTTTAGTTAAAAAAGTGTTTTTCAGAATTTCTGTTTAGTGTATTTACTGTATTTTTTAGTGGCAGAAAAAATTGCGGATAACATTTACATATCAATTTTGGTTCTACTTTAAAGTTCCGACGAAAATTTATACATACGTTAACATCTACAAATAATTTCAAAGCTTTAAAAAAATAATGGCAAGGTCTGCACGTTGAGACACACTGTGGTACGCAGGTTAAAACGCTCACTGTGTAAAAATAGTACTGTCATTAAAATTGATTTTGAATCCACAATTTTTAAGCGTTTTACATGTTCTTCACCTGTAAAAATTGCGAATATAAAAATTTCGATTAATTATTTTTGTGCAAAATGAAATTTTATTTTTTGATTATTTTTTTTAAGTTAATTTTTAATATTTTAATTTTTTTTTTCTTTGAGCTAAGACCATCAAAATAAGTAAATAAACAACAAACAATTAGAATCTGACGTAATTATTCATTTTGTTTCAATTTAAAATAAATTACTATGGGTGTCTCAACGTGCGTACCATTTTTTTTTTGGTCAAAAATAACATGTTTAAAAAAACAGCTATAAATTTTTCAATTTTGTCCAAAAAAATAACTTTCTTTGGCAATGTTGTAGCCCTGGACAATACTTTTAAGAAAGCATTTCGAATTTTTTGCTAAATTTTGTTTTTTAAAAATTATAACTGAAAAACAGAACCCGTCTCAACGTGCGTACCTCTCCCCTAGTTAGAAATATTTTTAATTTGTTAAAAATAATTATTTTGTCCTCTGTCGGAATTAGTTTGGATAATCGAGGTTCCACTGCGTATTGACATTTTTCACTATTGCAGCATTTATTTTCTTAAATATTAAAAAGAAAAATTCCTCAAAGAATATACTCACAATGAACATTAATTCATTTCCATAAAAGCAATAAATAAAAAGTTCCATCATCATGCAAAATACAAACGGAAAGAGTGCTAACGACGTTTCAAAATCCAAAGGATGCTTCGAAATTTTATAAATAACGATACAAATTGCAATGAAACTTGTTACAAATTGTGCAAATAATATTTCCATAAATAAATTTCTGAGTTTCTCCGCGAACCTGTTAAAAATATATTTCTTTACCTACAACACTGTAAAAAGAGGGCATCTTATTTTAAGATATACTATTGTAGTCAGTTCTAAGTTGTTTCAAAAATATTATCAAAAACATCTTAATATGTATTAGTTTCTAAGATGGATGCTGGAAAAATAAGATGTTTTAAATATCTTAAAAGTGACTACAATGTATTTTAAGATGTTTCTTTTTGCAGTGAAGTAATCTGTATAAGTTGTCCACAAGCTTGCAACAAGTTTTCTGAATATTTTAGAGAAAATATTAAAAATTATTAATTCCTTTGGTCAGACGATCAGTTTTCTGAATTGTAGTACATAGTAGCAAAATGTAGTCATAAGTCCAGAAAATACAAGGTTCCTGGAGTTTTGAGAACATTTTGCTAAATGCAGCAATCTTACAGGTTAGTTATGAAAACGAGTAATAAATATAAAATATTAAAAAGTTATTGATTTACCAAAATATCGTATTATGATGTTTCACTGATTTAGAAATAAATGACGACTCAAATTTTTCTTTAATTGCATCAGAATTTAGAGTCTTTTGAATATTGTCAACTTGAGAGGGGAACTTATTTAGACGATATTCCAAGAGCTTTAATTGACAGCATAGTTGCATTATGAAACCAGGTACCATTGTATCGCCAACAATGTGAATACTTGCTGTTATAAAATGACCAATGAATTCATGAATCCAAGTTATCCAAAAGTGAAATTTCATATCGTACGGTCTCCAAGTGTACAGAGCTTGTACTCTTTCATCACTTATCAATACTGCTATGTACATAAAAGTTACACCTAATGTAATCGTAGTCGAATATGTTATTGTTACTTTTCTGCACACACAATAATAATATGGAAATTTATCAAAATGATTATGGTCGTTATTATTTCTTTAAAAACATTTTATTTTCTAACTATGTCCCTCGCTATGAATAAGCTGAAACTGACAACAAGTTGTCAGCAACCACTTAATTTTGAAACTTTAAATCAGCTTTAAAAATTGCAACGAAACTAGCATCCGCAGTTATCATCATCCACTTAGTTGTTAAAAATTTTATATTGGTTTTAAACAAAAGAAATATTTAGCTTTAAAAACTAATTTCCAAAATTAAGTGGGTGACAGTTTTAGATTCATTTCCTGGCTCATTTTTATTAACTCGAAAGCATTTTTTATTAGAAAAAAACCAACTTGACTTTTGTGTCAAATTTCTTCTGAATTTCGTGTTCTATCTTATCTTTCGGTTGACACTGATCCTCCAACAAAGTGTTCAATAAACTTTTAATATCCTTTTGTCTACTTAAAAATATAGTTGTTTTAACCCAAGCGTTAAGCAATGTAAATAGCAGAAAAGAATGTTCTATAAGAGCTTCTTTAATTCTTTCGGACGATATAAAGACAAACAATATAAGTGCTAATCCTACTGAAATCATTGTGAACAGAACAAAAATCGAGTAGAGAATATAAATGATTTTTAGATAATTATAATTAAATGGCTGCCAAAGGCCACAGAGTTGCATAAAAAGAAAAGTTTCCGGTAAAATATTTTTTTGACTTCTTCTGCTACTTTCGTCGCACTTCTCCATCATGGCAAAATTTTTGCTTCTAAAGTTTTTTCTCTTCTAAAATTTCAATTAGAAATTCGTTTAGAAATGATATAGGTAACATACACGGAAATTAGAACTAATGATAATAATTAGAACTAATAATATAAGTAGGTACTATTCAATTTATTCTCATTTCTACTTTGTTTTTCTAAAATTGAAACCACAACAATTGTCAGTAAAGTTCTCAAGTCGAATGATGTATTTTTAGTCCCTACTTCATACAATGTTTATTGATCTTCATTTTTTTAGAGAGACAATGTCGCATCTGTTTAATTCGCCGCAATCGATGATTACTGTCATTTCAAAAGCTACCCTTATTATTCTTAATATATAGCTATTTTATTATGTACACAAGAAGGTAATTTTCTTATGGCTTTCATAGAAAAGGTAATATTCCATATACATACCACTAAATTTAACTGTTCATTATTTAACAATGCCGCAGTTTTCCTGACTTAAACATTCTCGACTAAATAACAAACAGAAAATAAATGCGAAACAAAAAATGTATAAAGGGTTAAATAATATTTTTATGAAAATTTATTTTTCACAAGTCTTTTTATACGCAGACTATACAGAATGTTGTAGTACATTGAATGCCGAATAAGAAGCTTTCAGAATCTGAAAAATTAAAAATAAAAGATGTTTTTATGATTATTATAAATAATTATGATAATTATGATTTCTCAATTATTGTTGGTGGAAATTTAAGTCTTTTGGTTTAATTTCTATGTATGCTTAAAAAAAAGTATTAAAATTTTTGAAGTGGCCACACAGCATCGAAAGTTATCTAACTTGCATACAACCTTCGGAATCTTTAGTTCCAAAAAACATGAAACTTGAAATTAGTAATTGTTTAAATGTCGACTCCCACATGGCACCAAAAATTTCCTGGTAGTTAAAATTAACTTGACTGCAAACTAAATTTAAGATGCAATGCAAAATTTTTGAGACTACCAATGCTGAATTTGAAAAATTACGGAATGGATTTATTTAAGCAAACAGTGATGAATTTAAGGGTGATTTTAAATTCAGATTTACTTTTTATTATGGAAAGTTAATTGAAGATTAAAAAACCGAAGATATTTAAAGAATTAGTCCAAGTTTAATGAGCTTTTGAAACTAAAGATTCCGAAGGTGATAGTGAAGCTATTTCCAATTTTTAGGAAACTTTCAGTGCTGTGTAGACTATCGAGTATCGAATAAGTTCTTTACTATAATTTTTGAAAACTCTTTTTCATATAGAAAAAATTTGATTACTAACTGTTACAAAGGAATCCAAGTTGACAAACATCATCGAACCAGCAGAAATTAAAATTGGTTTTGTGGAACAAATCATCAGAATTATGAGGCTTTTCTTTGTTCCTGACTCAAGGTAGAGCCAATTTATTCCAAGAACAGTATCTTGTAAATTACTACTCTGAATATTGCATTATAATATTTTGAATATTTTTAAAATTCTTGTATTTCTGACAAATTTTTTGACGGCTGAAATCCGCAACTCTTTGTGATGATATTTATTATTTTAGCTTCAAGTTTAAATTATTTGTTGACAACTGTCTTCAGAGAAAAAGTTAATCTCTTAAAAAGTTTTGCACAACAAAATTGAGGATGAATGAACTTGACAAAAAATTCTTTTTATAATTTTTCGTTTTTAAAACGGTTACGGACTTCAGCTTGATAGAGTTGTCAAAAAACTTATTCATGTTCGTTAGTAAATAAAAAAGTGTTTGATTACTTAAAAGTTTGAAAAAATAAAAATATCAACTAATCTTAAAATTACATCTTACATTTAACATTAATTTGTTACCATAAAAACAAAAGATAAAGAGTTGCATCAACATGCAACAGACGTAAGCATAAAGAGGCACTACATTTAAGTAATTAATTCCATTTTCTTTCGAAATTTTGAACACACTGAAGCAGATGATGATCAGACTTAATAGGAATTGGATAAAAAGCATTTCCACAAATGTACTTCTCAAATGTTTTGCAAATCTGTATTTAATATAGAACACTGTTAAAAATCGGACTCCAACTTTTACGCCTAAAGATTGAAAATTATATTGTTTCGATCTCAAAAAGTGTGGAAACTATCATTTGATTATATTGACTAGAAACTTTAAACCAATTCAATGCGAGCATTCGCACTTTGCAGGATTGAAACAACATTGATTCAATCTTTTTGGTGTAAAGTTGAAGTCCGAAATTATTAAGAATAAAAGACGTCGTAACTTTATAAGTTTATAAGTTCATAACGTTGATCAAAGATAGTGAATTAAGATTAATAAGATTAAACAGAAATAAATATTTTTGATAAAGTAAATCTTACTTAAATATGGTATTGTGATGGTTTATAGTCCTCGATATGAATGACTTTTCTAATTCGAGTTTATCGCATTTTAAGGATTTCAGAATTTCTTCGGTTTGAGATGGGAATTCATTTAAACGATGCTGTAAAAATTTTAATTGTGAACAAAGTTGAATGATGAAACCTGGAATTAAAGTGTCACTGGCTAAATGAACACTCGCCAGTACAATGTATCCCAAAAATTGGTAAATCCACGTGAACCAAAAATATAATGGTACATTAAGATCATATGGCCGCCAGGTATTTAAAAGTTTTATTCTCTCTTCTCCTTGTTTAGAGATTACAGCCAAACTCATACATACCACTGTTAAACCCACTGAAGACGAGTAAATAATCGTAATTTTTCTGTGAAAAAAAATTTTACTGAACTAAAATTAAAATTTTACTAAACTAAAATTAAAATTTAACTTTAGCCAAAATTAAAATTAACTTTGGCTAAAAACAACAAATAGTATAGTTTTTGACGCTGAGCGACGACGCTAACTTCATGGACATAGTTCAAATATTTAATGGGGCGCATGATTATTCCCCAAATGTCATTTTTCCGAAATGTCATTTTACCGAACTGCACTTTTGCGAATAGTCATTTTTGCGAAAAGCCAATTTTGCGAAATGTCACTTTTGCGAATTGTCATTTTTGCGAATCGCCACTTTTACGAATTGTTAATTTTCCCAAAAGTAATTTTTGCGAATTGTCATTTTTACGAAACGACATTTATATAATACATGCATAAAAAGTCCCACTTCTGGTGCAAGGAAAATGTGCGAGAAAGGGCGTTTTATAGCGAACGATCATATAAATATTTCCGCACATGCGTATATTGTTACTAGTCTCTTTATTTCACACTATTATTTCACAGTTTTCATTTAACAGCCAATCAGAAAAGTTGTAGTGACTTGCTATTTAAAGCAGCGGAAGCGCAACTAAAAATGCGCCATCTGTGAGAAGAAAATCAAATTAGAATGCATGTCGGTAAAAAAGTCTACACGACTCGCGCCATTTTCTGAGAGTTTCTAACCTTCTTGATGAGATCGCTCGCGTGAAAAATTCTGTTTTTATTCTTTTATCATACTTCTTATTGATACGTCTAAGTACGCGACTAGGTTTCGGGGGGCTTTGCCCCCCGACGCGTCCGGTCTCTTGATGTATTAGAAAATGCTGTTCTTTGAAATGTCATAAATTATAATTCATTTGAGCCCTCGGCTCCAACTCGTGTTGCCTGTTGCACTCGCTTCCGATTTGTGGCGCTAACGTCGCCCTTCTATAAACTCCCCTTTCTCGAACTCGTAACATAAAGTACTATTTTGTGAAATGTCATTTTTGCGAAAAGCCATTTTTGAGAAATGTCATTTTTACGATTAGTCATATTTGCAAAATTGACATTTTTGCGAATTGTCATTTTTGCAAACTGTCACTTTTGCGAATCGCCATTTTTACGAATTGTCATTTTTGCGAATCGACATTTTTACGATTTGTCAATTTTCCGAAAAGTCATTTTTGCGAATCGACATTTTTACGAATTGTCAAATTTCCGAAAAGTCATTTTTGCGAAAATTCCTATAGTGAATCTATATATTTATTTATTGTATTTATTTATTTACAATGTCCCCGCAGTCAAAAGACCATAAATGGGTTACTGAGGAATACAAAAGGTGTGTATAAAAGAAAAAAAAAGAAAATTAATATTAGTGCATTATCGCAAATTCTCAGTGTATTGCACTAAACATCTCAAAAATGCTGACTGATTAGAGAAAAAAAGATCCAAATCCGGACGCATATTGTCAAATATTCTGTTAACATGGTAACACGCAAAAACTATAGGAGAAGTCGAAGAGACAATATTTTGTTTGTTTAATTGATAAAAAGGTTCAACATTTCTTAAAAGACAACCTCGGAACTCTAAAAAAAAATTCGCTTAGTAAGTACGGACAATCGACTTGAGACCTAATAATTTTAAACAAAAAGGTGGCCGCAGTTATTAAATGGCGTTCAGCTAGCGTCATGAAACCAAAACGCTGACATAATAGTAAATAGTCGCAACCTCGGTTAGAATATATATACCATCCTTCTTAAAAGCCACATATTTTAAAAACCTTACTATTTTCGCAAAAATGACAATTCGCAAAAATGACTTTTCGAAAAATTGACAATTCGTAAAAATGTCGATTGGCAAAAATGACTTTTCGGAAAATTGACAATTCGTAAAAATGTCGATTCGCAAAAATGACTTTTAGCAAAAATGACTATTCGCAAATATGAAAATTCGTAAAAATTGCTATTCGTAAAAATGGCGATTCGCAAAAGTGACAATTCGCAAAAATGTCATTTCTCAAAAATAACAATTTGCAAAAATGGCAATTAATAAAAATGACTTTTCGCAAAAATGACATTTTACAAAAATGTCTTTTCGTAAAAATTGACAAATCGTAAAAATGTCGATTCGCAAAAATGACTTTTCGGAAAATTGACAATTCGTAAAAATGGCCATTCGCAAAAATGACAATTCGCAAAAGTGACATTTCGCAAAAATGACTATTCGCAAAAGTGCAGTTCGGAAAAATGACATTTGGGGAATAATCATGCGTCCCGCACAAGTACTAAAAATTTAATTACACTGATGAAATAACTCACTTTGTTTCCTCGTCGTACTTCCTCTGGATTTCCAATTCAATATTATCGGAAGGTTGGCACTGTTCTCTTATTAACACATTTAACAGTGACTTAATGTCCCTCTGTCGAAGTAAAAGAATTGTCCCTTTAACCCAACTATTAAAAAAGCTTAGAAGTAAAAAACAATTTTCCACAATAGCATCTTTTATATTTCCTGATGAAATTATAACCCCTATAAGCGATAGACCAGTCACAATAATAGTGATTATCATAAAAATTGAATAAATATCGTAAATTATTTTTTGCAACAATGTCGAGGTGTCCGGTTGCCATAGACCACAAAATTTCATTAGGAAAAATGATTGAGGCAAAATATTCTTCTCCTTTCTTCTCATTATTTTAGTACTTTTTCCTTTTGGCATCACAATCAGTTTTTTTTAATTATTTATCAATAATTTATATTATTAATTTAATAATTAATTATATTTTGAAGAATAAATTTTCTTCTTTTTTAAGCCAGTATTATATTAGTAAAAAAATTTGTAAAAGAAAAAATAATAGAAAAGCAATTAGGCCCCAATTCTTATTTTTTTCCTAATAGTTAATTATAATTTATTTTATTATGGATAAAAGAATAAATATTATGAGTAATGCTAAAAATGTTTCCTATATTTTATCAAAAGACACTGCAATAATAGTCAAAGGTTTACAAAGTAATGATACATTTTTACTCCCCACCTCTTTCCAATATTGATTTGAGTTTCTTTTATTTTCGCAAAAATACGAGAGAAGAGTATTTTATAAAATTTATAAAGCTGCAGTCGATGATTATTTTATTTAAAAATTAGAATGTATGGTTTATTGATAGAAACATGCGACTTTTCTCTTAGAAAATAACCCTTTGATATTTTATTATAAAAGACAAATATGAGAGAGACGGTAATTATTCTTATGGCTTTATCATAAAATTTATTTCGATTACTGTTCTATAATGTTTGTTCTGCTCACATACGCACTTGTTGCTTGAAACTTGAATTTTAGTATTGTATAGTATATAATACGTGAAAGTTGTACAGTTTTTATATTATTTTAGCTTTCTACTAAAAATTTGCAGAATCTTTACTAAACCTTTGGCAAATAAATCCGCATCTCTTTAATTACTAGAAAACTACTTAAAGTTAAATTTAAAGATTAAACAATCATATAAATATATAAAAAAATTTTTACTTCACAGTTTTTTTAAGGATATAAAATTGAGACCAAAAATAAATCAAAAGTGATTTACTTTCTCTTTACTCCTTTTTTGTGCATATTATTTGCTAATTTGCTAATTATTTTTTTTATTAAAATTTTTTCAATTTCTGAAGGAGAAAATACGAACAAAGAGTAGGTGTATGTTTCAGATTGAATGTTGTAAAACGTTATATGCTGAATAAGATGTTTTTAAAATCTAAAAGTCGTTTATTAATATTAGAAACTAAATTAAGTAAATAATGTTAAAATATGTTGTTATTATACAGAAAGATAAATTTCTGTATTTTTGATAGAAATTTCTCTTTATGTATACACTAAATTTATTACTATTGTAAATTAAATATTTTTATACTAACCGATGCGAAGGAATTTAAATTTACAAATAAAATTGAACCAATTGAAATTATTATCGGCTTTTTACTTCGAATCATCATTATTATCAGACTTCTTTTTGTTTCGTTTGAAAGGGAAAACCAATTTGTTTCAAAAATTGTTTTCTGCAAATCTCTACTCTATAATATAAATTTTATCATTTTTGGAGTAAACTTACAATGTTCAAAGTAAATTTTAATTGTTTTAGTAAAATTTACTCCGGAAAGGATAAAAATTGATAATAAGGCATTTTAGGTTTTACTATATTAAAATAGTAAAAGTTAATTTTTTCTTTCTTCTTTATTACAATATTAATAAACATTATATAAAGCTTAAAACAAATACTTACATTAAGCATTAATTCATTGGCATACCAACAATAAATGAAAAGTTGTGCCAACATACAAATCACATAGGGAACAAGGGTCATTGTATTTCCATAATTCAAAGGTTCTTTTGAAAATTTATATACAGTTAAACAAATAACAAGTAAACTTGAAAAAAATTGTGAGAACAAAACTTCGACAAATATATTTTTGATTCTTTCTCCATACCTGTTATATTGAGTCAAAGAATTCAACATAAATGACAAAATATATTATAAAACATTTATATGATCATAGAAAATAATTATAAATTTTGATGCCCTCATAAAGATTCGAACGTTCAAATGAATAACGATTTTTAATGTTTTCCGTTAACATTTGAACAAATTGTATTTATTAAAGGTGAAAGAAGTTAACAATTTATTATTAGTTATTTATTATTATAAAAAAAAAATTTTTTGTTAATTTAGAAAATTAATTACTCTCTATGAATGTAGTTATGTAAATAAAATATAGTTATTTTGTTATACAAATATTTTTTTATACCGAAACATTGTAATGTGATGAACAACAAATTTTGAAATAAATGATAATTCGAATTCTCGTTTAATTTTTTGAGGCATTTGTAGATTTTCCACTTGACATGGAAAATTATTAATTCTGTACTCAAAAATTTGTAATTGACAGCAAAGTTGAATTATAAAACCGGGCACCAATGAATCGACAGCCATATGAACAGTTGCTGTTGCTAAATGAGCAAAAAATTCATGCACCCATGTTATTTGAAAATAATTATCCTCAAAATCGTACGGTCGCCAAGTATTAAGAGCCGCTGCTCTTTCTTCACGTTCTTTTATTGTAAAAATTGATGTGTACATTAATATCACTGCCGTTGCAACCATAAGTGAATAAATTACATTAACTTTCCTATTCAAAAATATTTAAGTAATTAATTAAATTAAAAATATATGATTTTATATAAAATATGTAACCGAAGAAGGCTGAGAGCAAAAAATTTTAAGCTATGTTTATAAATTTTTAGGAGTGATGATACAGAAAGAGAATCAATTATTATTAAAAATTATGATCTTCAATTTTTTATTACAAACAAAATATTCAATTGAAACTGGTTTCGAATTTTTATAATAAAAAATAAACTTTTAATGAAGAAAAATCAAACACAAACATAACTTATAATTCGTTTGCTTCTTAGGTACCTTTTTTGGCAGCGCGTCATAGATTTTTACTTTTTTAATAAATATAAATAATTAAATAATATCCCCCACAGCACCGAAAATTATTTCTGAAATTTTTTTAAATATTTACTATAGTAATGTTTATGGAATATTTAAATGCAAAGTTTAGAAAAAATTATGTAAAAATTTAAATGCCCTGATTAAATAAAATGTTTAGCGTCAAACTTTCCTGCACTTTTCACTAAAATATGCATTTAAATATTCCGAATATTGCGAGTAAATATTTAATAAATTTTCAAGAAATTTTCGAAGGACAAGTAAAATGTTCAGAGACAAAAGGAAAATTTTATAAACAGAAATAAAATACAAACCTGGCTTCGTTATCAAATTTTTGTTGTATAACGTGTTCAGTTTTGTCTTGTGGTTGACATTGATCCTCCAATAATGTGTGCAATAAATTTTTAATATCTTTATGTTTGCATAAAATAACCGCAGCTTTCACCCAACCATTTAATAGCGTAAACAATAAAAATGAATTTTCTACAATTAACTCTTTATTATTCGTTGGAGAAAATACTAATAAACATATTAGGGCTAATCCAGTTGTTAATATTAATAATATCATAAAAATTGAATAAAAAATGTAAATTATTCTCAAAAATGAAGTATTAAATGGTTGCCAAATTCCGCAAAATTTCATCACAAAAAATGTTGATGATAAAATATCACTTGATTGCCTTTTAAAATTGTTTTTATTTTCTTCTGTCATTTCAATTATTTAATTATTAATTACTGTATTAACTGAAAATCTGTATTTTTATATTTTGTATATAAATAGTTTTCTTTATAATTAATTTTATTTGATAAATAATTCTTTTATGTAATAAATTTTTTTTTAAATTAATTTTTTGATAATTTTTTTCTATAATTTTCTTTTTAATAATTAACTTCTACTAATAACTAATTCTGTTTTATAAATTATTTTTTTATAATCAATTTATTTTTACAATTAATTCTTTTTTTCGATGATTTGTTTTGATATTTAATTTTTTTAATAATTTATTTTTATTTCTTTTATCGGATAATTTTTTTAAATTTTATATTTTTTCTATATATTTTTTAAAATTAAAAAAATTTTTGATAAATTTGATAATTGAATTAATTTTTTGTACAATTATTTTATTTTCGTGTTTCTATAATAATTATTATTTATATTTGCACTGCAATGTCTCTGATGAATTACTAGGAAATGATCCCCTCTTTTTGCAATATTGATTTAATTGTTTTTTAATGCATTTTAATATTATTAATGAGAGTGAATGTCGCATCTCTTGATAATAGCTCTATAATAAAATTATATAGTTGCAAAAGCAGATACATAAGGTCTTTTATTATCGAGCAAGCAATAATTTTCTTATGGCTTAATTCCTTTGTTCGTTGCTTCTATTTATTCTTCATCTTAATTCCTGACACAAAGTTACTGAATCGAAATGTGAGTTCTTTAAAGATTATTCTTTGTCTAAACTAAATTAATTTTCTATTGACATTTTTTTAATTTAGAAAAAATTCTTTATTTTTTTTAGTTTAGAAAAATTTATCTTTAATAAATTTAAGTCAATTATTTATTTAAAAATCTATTATAAATGCAATTTAATTGTGTATAATAATTCATATATAATTCAATAACTTGACTATAGCACTGTAAAAACAATTTCTTATTTTCTTCTCAAGTATTCTGTTATTTTTTTGAAATTATGCAAGTATACTCTGACTTTGATGTTTAATTTCGAAAAAGGAATTTTCTTTAGTTCTTCTCTCTTGCTTTTATAATTATTTCTGGATTTAAATTAAAACTCGCAAAGTTTATAAAAGTATGTAAACTTTTCTTCAGATTAAAAGTTTGTTTTCACAGACTGTAAAGTAGAGTAACAACTCCAGACATTTTTTGAATATTTCTCCTGTATTTAAAACTTAGGGAAAAGCTACCTATAAATATTTTACTTGCGTATTAATATTTCTTAATTTGTAGTTTAAGTTTTAATTTTAATTTCTTTAAAACAGTTTGAATAATAGATCAAAATATTCAACGAATTTTTGATGATGTGATGTAAATTACTTGACTTTTTGGTTGACTGGAAAAATAAGAAAAATTATTGTGTAAAATTAAATAGAATTTGTAAACATGCGGAAACAATGGTATATTTATAAAACTACAATCTTGAGGTAAAGTCTTTTTTATGAAAATACTTTTTAAATAAACTTAAAAAAATAAAAATAAAAAAAAAAAAACTAAATTAAAGAAAAATAAACTTTAAAAAAAAAAAAAAAAACTTTTATAATAAAAAAAAAAAAAAAAAAAAAACTTTTATATGTACTTAATTATTATTATGCACTTAATAATTAATTATTCGATGGAAGTTATACAGAATGTTGCAGCACATTAAAAGCCGGATATGATGCCTTCAGAATCTGAAAAATGTTAAATTATGAAAATCAAAATTTGGCCCCACGTATTTATTGCATACATACTTACCGATGCGAAACAATTTAAATTCACAAATGCAATTGAAGCAATTGAAATTAAAATCGGCTTTTTAGAACGAATCATCATGATTATCAGACTTTTTTTTGTTTCTTTACCAAGAAAGAGCCAATTTATTTCGAAAATTGCTTTCTGCAAATCACTGCTCTATTTGAAAAAGTAATCATGTTAGAATCATCAAAATAGATATTATTAGGGGAGATTAGGTGCGGTTGTTACGCTGTGCAGTTGTTACAAATGGAATATCTCAGAAACAGTTAGTTATAGAGATGGGGTTCCAAAGAGAAAAATGTTTAGTTTTTATGTACGAACTTGCTGCAATATGTTTAAAAATTATATGCAAGCTTTACAAGTAAAAGAAATAGGCACATTGGTTTTTAGAGGCCAAAAGTAAATATTTTTCTGCCTTATATTTTTTAAATAATTAATAGACCTTTTTACTTAACAAAGTAAATTTTTTTAATATCAATTCTATGCTCATGGAAGGCAGGATTAAGCTTTAAAAAACTGCCTTGGTTGTCCACATTTAGTGTATACTTTTTTAATAAATTGTTTTATTGTAAAAATTGTACCTGTTGTGCAGTTGTTACAAGTGATAATGAGAACGGATATTTTTTCCAAAATTCATCAGATTCGTTTGAAATGTAAAATATTTGTCAAAAATGTAATCACACTAATTTTTTATAAGAAATCTCATGGTTTTTCTTAATGCGTCTTCAAAAACGAATGAAAAAAAAACTTTTTTAAGTTTCTTAAATTCTACGAGAAATCAATTATTTAAATACAAAAATAAATAATATTGAATGTTTCTTAAAATTTAATTTTTACGAAGAATTGATTGTATTAACAACTTTTGTAAATATTTAATTTTGTTTAAGAAATTTAATTAAAATTGTAATAAAATTTATTATATTAAAGAATTTTATGAAAATTTTTTGAAAATAATTGAAAACTTTCTGAAGAATTTTATTAAATTTTTTAAAAATACTTGAATTCCTGAGAAAAATTTAAGTAATAATTTTTTAAAACAATTGAATTCATGAGAAGAATTTTATTAAAATTTTTGAAAATAATTGACTTCTTGAGAAGAATTTCCCTATCTATTTATAAAGATAATTTAATTCTTGACGAGAATTTTTAAAAAATTTTGAAAATAATTTAATTTCTGCAAATTATTTTAATACTTTTCAAAAGAATTGAATTCTTGTGATAAATTTTGATATTTATATCAAAATAATTGAATTTTAGAAAAGAAAATTCTCTATTAAAATTCCTTAGAATAATTGATTTCATGGGAAGAATTTATACGATTTTGTTGTTTATCAAGATAATTGAATTTTTTTGCAAAATTACTTAAAAATTTTTGAAAATAATTGATTTTCTGCGACAAATTAAATTTATTTATGAAAATATTTAAATTATTGCAACGAATTTTAAATTGTTTTATTGAATAATTGAATGTTTCTTAAAATTGAATTCTTTCCTCAAGTTTTAATAAAATTTTTAATAATAAAATTGCATTTTTCAAGAAATTTATTTAAAATATTGTATGAAAAATATTTAAAATTCTGCGATGAAAATAATTGAATTCATAAATGAAATTTTATTATTTATGAAAATAATTGAATCTTTTCGTAAAATTGTATAAACAAGTTTTTTCTATAGTTAAATTTGTTGATAAATTTTATGAAAATAGTTAATATTTAAAAACATTGAATTGCGAAAAACTTTTGAAAATATTTGAAATTTTGCAAAGAATTTTATTTAAATTTTTGAAAATAATTGAATTTTTGGTGAAAAAATTTGCTATTTATTAAAAATAATTGAATTGAAATTTTGTTTAAATAATTGAAATTTTGCAAAGAATTTAATTAAAATTTTTGACAATAATTGAATTCTTGAGAAGAATTTTGATTATTTCAAAATTATTGAAAATAATATTAATTTTCTGCGACGAATTAAAAAATGTTTATGAAAATAATTTTCAAAACAAAACTTTTCAACAAAGTGAATTTTTTTCACTTGTTGGATGCGGAATTAGGTAAGCTTTACGATAATAATCTCATAATTCAGAAAAGTTTACTTGCTTAAAAAATATTTCATTTTTTAGTAATTTTTTACTGATTTTTATTAATTAATTAATTAATAATTCGAAAACAAAAAAAAACGTCATTTTTTCAGAATCAGTTATGGAAAGTACACATATTAAGCTTTATTTTAAAGCAAAAAAAAGAGAAAAAAAATGCCGTTTTTTAAAAAAAAGTGAAAAATATTTTTAATTTTGAAAAAAATTAGTTAAATTGTTAATTAAAAAAAAAAAATTTTACACCATTCGAAAGAGGAGGAAAAAACCTTTCGAAAACATATAGGTCAAAATTTTGTCCACTCTACTGTATTTTAGCTATATTAGCTAAAAGAATCCACACGGAAAAAATAAGTCGCGGAAATTTTCCTCGACTTTGTTGAAGACTCTCGGATTTAGTGGAAACTGTTTTAAAAATCATATTCACAGTTTTTGAAGAAATAGACTACATTTGAAGAAATTTTCCGCGACTGTCGAAGAAAATGAAGACTCCACGCGCATGTAACCGATTCCGCCACAGTCGCGGAAAATTACAAACCTGAATTTACTCTACAGCGTTCTAATTTTTAATTGACAGTCGCGGAAATTATTTAGAATTTTTTAATGTATATATTAATATCGACACATTGAATAATAAAAATAATAATAATCTTGACAATCAATTGTCATAAATTGTTAAAAAAAAATGTTAAAAAAACAGTGTTTATTGGTTTTAACGCGCGCAACTTTTGTGCGCACCATTTTCCGCGACTCGTCGACGAAACCTTCTATGAAGTGTTAGAATAATTCCGAGACTGTTTTCCGCTACTAGGTTTCTAGAAAGTCCTCGACTTTTTTTGGAGAATTTCTGCTAAAATCGTAGAACATTTCTAAAAGTCTATAAAAGATTCGTTCATATCCGAGAGTCTTCGATTAGTCGCTGAAAATTTCTGCGACTATTTTTTTCCGTGCACTGTCCACACGTTACCAAAAACTTTAACCCCCTCTCCCCCCTACAATTTTTAATAAAATATCTTAATATGAAGATTTTCGATTTTAAGTTAGGACAATTGAGGAAT